CCCGCCCCGGAAGTCACCCGCAAATGCGTCCCCTCTGGCGCTGGAAACGGGGATCGCGCCGTTGGTTCCGAGGCCCTCTCTTGCCCCTTGGGTTGCTAGAGTTCGTGAGGAGCTGTGGACGTCTTTCCTCTGAGACTCAAGCCCCCGCGGACGCGCAGCCAATGACGTGTCCGTGCGCCACTGGCTGATTAACGCGTTCCAAGTGGGGACTTGGCCGCCGCGGGGCTGGGTTCAAGTTCAGCCCCACTTACATCGTGTCCTTGGATCCAGGTGTGACTCCTGTGTCTCGGGTAAAATGGCCAGAACTACCTGTGCGGCTGGTCGTGCGGTTAAGTGAGCTCACGCCGGGGCCTGGCACGTGGTGTAGATGCTCTTCGCGTCCTCGCAGTGGCCAAGTGTCCCTTTCAGTGTCTTCAGGCAAAACCCAGAGGCTCATCCCTCAGATGCAGGTAAAAGACACTGCGATCAAGAACAAGAACTGAAGTGGATCTGTTAAGACTTTGGATCCATACGATGGAACGTTATTCAGCAGCAGAGATGAATGAAATGTTGACATGTGTGAACCTTATGTTAAGTGGAAGAAGCCAGTCCCAAAGGGCCTCGTGTTGTATAACTCCACTGACAGAGATTCTCTCGTGGACCAAAATCTGCTCAGACTCCCCTGAACCTTTTTTCAGCTAGGCCTGTCTTACTTCCATGTATCTCTCTGTGTTGTCCAGTTTTTGCAAGAATTCCAGTAAGTTAGCTTAGCCACAGTCCCACACCCTGTATACTCCTCATCCCCTGTAATCTTCCTGGCGGTATCTGATCACCTTGGTCTGCCTTCGGCAAGAATCCTGTTAGGTCAGTTAGAATCCCCCTTACCCCTGGTGTTTCCTCTTAGCAGTTTTCACTCACGGACCCCCATCCCACTCCTTGGCTGTAGTTCCCACTCGCCCATCCTGCATTCTGAGTGGAACCCAATTTCTCCCTCACTGCAAATTTCTGTCAAATTGGCCCCTATACCTGTATTGATAGCTCCCTACTTTTGAATAAAATCTTCCTTTAAGTGCAAATGTCATTTGAATATTTGGGGTGAGGGGTAATTAGGCTTATTTATTTTTTTATTATTAGTTGTTTTTTTTTAATTAAAGTACTGGGGATTGAACCCAGGACCTCGTGCATGTTAAGTATTCACTCTACCACTGAGCTCTACCCTCCCCACTTGGATATTTTTTTTCATTTATGTGAAATATCCAGAATAGGCAAATCAACAGCGATAGATAGTTGATTGGTGGTTGTCAGTAGCTGGCATGAGGGGTGGGGTTGGGCAGATGAGAAGTGACAAGTAAAAGGTACGAGATTTCCTTTAGGATGGTGACAGTGATCTAAAATGGATTGTGATTCCTGCATAGCTCTGTGAAAACCCAAAAGACACTGAACTCTACACTCTAAATTTTACAGTGTGTGAAAGATATCCCAATAAAGCTGTAAAAAAAAAAACCTTCTTTGACAAGTTGAATGCAAAAAGAAACCTAATTTGACAAATACGTTTTACTTGACCCTGTGACAAGATGGAGCTACAGATAGGTAAAAATGAAAAAGTTACATGCACTACGTCAGAGAGCTAACTCAGAGAACAATCTCTACATGTAAAATTTTCAGTCTAGTAGAAGGAAGCAGCTGTGGAAATATGTAACTGCAATTAACGAGTGCAAAGATGCAAGAATCAGGAAGGAGTAGAGGGACTAATCAGTCAGTACTACCCAAGTGAAAAATCAAGTGACCTGTAAGCAGTGGAAATGGAGGTGACGTGAACTGAACCTTTCTTCCCCAATATTAAGTTAAATTTTTAAAATGAAGGCAATGCATTCTCATTACCAAAAAAATTTTTTAAGTAGACAGACAAACAGCAAATGAAGTCAAAAGACAAGCTAGGGAGAAATTTGAAACCTACCATAAGATGCAAACCTCCTTTAGATGTAATAAACATACATATGAGTAAACTAAAATAAAAAGACCAATGGCTGAAGAGGGAAAAATGGGGAAATGATATGAAAATACAGTTCATAGGAGAAGAAATGCAAATTGATTCTTAACATCTGAAAGAAAGCTCAACTTCACTCATAATAAGAAAAATTAAAACAGTGGGATATTACTCTTCGTAAATCAGCAAAGATCAAAAATGTTGGTGATACTTTGTTGGCAAAAGTGTGGGGAAACAGGCCTCTTCATATGTTGTTTTTGTGAGTGATACTGACATTTTCTCTATGGTGAACAAGTTGGCGTGTCTCCCAAAACAAAGTGTACATACTCTGCCCTAACACTTCCAATTCTGGGAAACACAGAGATGCATTTTGCATATGTGCAGAATGACCTGCCTCATTAAGGATAGTCATTACAACACTGTCTGTTTCATAGGAAGACCTATGAAAAAACAGAACCACCCTGCAAGGCCACATCAGGAGAGGCAGCAAGTGTGCTGTCTGGTGGGAAAGAGGGCTCTGGAGTTAGACTGCCTTGGTTCAGATCCTGGGCAGAGGGATCAACCTCTCTGCGTGTCATTTTCCTCATCTGTAAAATAGCTTGTACTTCATAGGATTGAGGCATGTGAGGACTTAATGAGATAATTCACAAACAGTGCTTAGAATAATGCTGAACATATTCTTGAAATTGTAATTAACATGTACGTATCGGCATATATTGCATTGCATTAAATTACACTACTTTATTACTTGTGGCAGCAGCTGTGGCAGCAGTCTTGCTAATAAGCTGAGACACACAACGAGCAGCATGGAGATCTGAGTCCCTCTCGAGGTTAGACAGTCTGCTCCATTCTGTTTGAGGTCTCTGCAACAAGACAGCTGTTGCTTGCCTCCAGTCCCACTCAGCACTATGGAATGCCAAAAGCAGTGACCAGGCTGCCAAACCAAGCTTCTGGACCCTTAGATAGGCCTGCATTGTCTCTGTGGTGGTGAGGCCGGCCAGATGATTTGCCGTAACCCATTTCATGCATAGTCTTCTTTTATTTTTTATTTTTTAGCTTCTTTGTGTACAGTCTTTACTAACTCATATGTCCTAAACTCATACATTTGAGATGAATAATTAGTAAAATCACAATATAACCTAAGATTTCTTTCCATCAAACCCACTTTTAAAAAGACAAAATAAAACACTGAATGTAGTTGTATTATAAGCCCTCAGTAACTGATTCATACTGACATTTCCCAGATGTGTTTGAAGTTCATACATCTTTTATTTCACACCGTGAGGCCAGGCTCTCCAAATGTCTTCAGGTATTAAACGCTTTGCTGCACAAGGATTTAATAAGGTAAACACATGCCCTTGAAAGCACAATTTATCACTTGTTTCCAGTTTGTTCTTTCCTGCTCTTGATTGTAGCTCCAGAATCCTCTCCACTGCACACAAATCAAGACAATTGCAGTGACATTTGACTGTCTGAGGAACCTAAACCTTGGAAACCTTTAATTTAAAAGCCCCAGGAATCTTTAAGTAATAACCAATATCCATACACGATTTCTCCTTTTTCAGAGTACCTTCCCCTGTGGCACGTCACTCACCTCCCCTCGCAGGGTGTGGCGACATCACTTCATTGCGGGATGGACTCTGAGTCCCAGGGGTCTCCTGAGACAGGGATTTACTGAGGGGCTGGATCGTTCAGAGTCCTTTGCTCTCTCAGGGGCGTGCAGTATCCTTGGCTACAGTACAATTTTATTATTGGGCCCAGAACAGACGAGTTAAGTTCATTTCTTTATCAGATGTCGTTGCTGGAAATACTTATAAGCCATGTTAGTTTATTTTAATGAGTTCATAAGCATGGTGGGGAAATAGGTTGATGGAAGGTTTAACCTCAGGAGCTCACTCCAAGACCAGGGATGACAATGTAGCAGAAGGTGACAGTAGGTACAGAAGGAAAAAGTACAAGAATGAACTAGGTGGCTGCTGTAGACTGAATATTTGTGTCCTCCCATATTCATATGTTGAAACCTAACCAAGAATTAGGAATTACTAACACCCACTCCCCACCTACCCTCAGGGGTACGGCCTGTTTGCCAGCAGCTCCGGGCCAGCCTCAGCCTGGCCAGGTGACAAACTCATCAGCTGTCCAGAACTGTCCCCACCTCCTCCTCCTCCCTTCCCCTCCCGCTGCCCTCCTCATCCCTCCCCAGCACCTCCTCTTTCTTCTGTGGCCACAGTGCTAGTGAGAAGGTGGCATGGCCTCCCTTCACTTTGGATGCTGGGTAACCAGGTGGCCAGCCCTGTGCCCTCAGGGTCCCGGGTACCAAGGCCCAGTCAGCGACTGCAGGCCAGGTTGACTACCTTGGGCTCCTGCCACAGAAGGACAGCGCTCTTTTCTCCCTGGAATAACTCACGCTGGGTTTGGATTTGCCCTCCCCGTCTTCCATGTTGACTCTCTAACTGCTGCCTTCATCTTCAGGGTTCTACAGGGTCATGAGGTAAAACAGTAGCCAGTGTCCACGGGGCTCATCGGACTTGTCATGTGCAGGAATGGTCACACTATTTTAGGTAGCAGCACTTAGAAAGATGTACAAGAAGGGTGAGTAGGTGTGTGTATTGGGCACAACACTCCCTCCACCTCCCTCACACCTGAACCTGTGACCTAAATGCACCAGTCAGACGGCACAGCTTGGGTGTCTCAAGAGTGATAGAGGCCAACAGCCAGCAAATGGCATGGGATAGCGGGTAGGGCACTTTCCTTATGCCCTCAAATTGCCTGTTGTCCTGCAGGAGTAATTTCCACTGTCTTCAAACAAAGACAATGAAGAATCATGCACAGAAAGGGAACAGAACTCCGATATCCTCAATCAAGTCATGAATCATATTAGACAATAATACAATTCCATCCAAGGGGTTCTAAACCCCTAACCCATGATTCTTCTGGTGTGTTCACTTGTCTGAAGTCAACCAAATACTGGGCAACAGCTGCACATTGATATTTTCATGCCAAACTAAGTTTTGTGAAATTGCATATGTATAAATCTCTGTGTTGCTGTTTCTTTTAATGATTCCTTTCTTAAACTAGTCCATGAGATACAGTCAGGAAAACAAGGCACAGATTTTCAGTATGGCCAGAATATTAAACATCTTTAGTAGTTTCTCAAGAATTTTTGGTGTGGGGGGGGCTTCTTCCTCAAAATTACTCAAAATTGAAGGGAGAACAACCATCTTTCTAGCTGGATTGAGGAGCAATGTGACAAGGTTACCACAGGAGGGGAATCTAAGGATTGGCAGACTCTTGCTGCAAGGACATGAATAATTATTAAGAAGCCCATGATTTGTAGACATCCTGTTGCTGTTTTACAATGACAATTCAACAGATTTTGAATTAACCTCTATCCAAACACCAGATCTCAATTACTCAGTCTTCTCTGTGTCTTGCTGTGCCTGCTGCCACAGTCGCTAGGACTGTACCTGCACCTGCTTAGAAACCGGAGGTTGTGTCCATTCCAGCTTTCATGTGCTATCAGTGCCTCCAGCAGAGCCAAGGGTGAGGGAGTGGGAGGGGGGTGGCAAAGTGGACAATGGAAGGATGCTTTGGCTCAGTGAAGGCAGTCACTGGGATGCTGAGAGAAAGCCCAGCTCATTCAGGAAACACAGAAACATAGTCAGGCTGGGATGCAGAGCAAGAGGCCGGAACATGAAAGATGGAAAGTTTCATGTGAGAACATATTCATGTGTGAAAACCACAGTCGAGTCTGGTAAGTTACAGTGTTTAGAGCTGATGTCCAGTGTTGTAAGTATCTTATTAACACACATCTCTTCTACTCCAAGATACATTATTGCTGTTTAAACTGTAGTGCTAAGGACAGGTTTTAAAGACAGCAGCAGCATATCGCTGAAAGGAGGTGTGAGACATGTAAACTGGAGACACACTCACACATGCCTACACCCACCCACGTGTACATGGTCTTGTTAGCAGCTGGAGCCTCCTCCCCACCTCGCCCCAGGACTGTGTATTATGTTGGACAAACATAGCTACGTAGAGTAGGATGGAAGAGCCAAGGGGTCCTATTTAGGAAAAGAGGATGGTTGCTGAGCTGCTGACAAGGGCAGTAAGTCCAGCTTGACAATCAGATTTGGTTGTGCTGAGAGTGAGTTGCAGAATGGAGCTGCTGGGGGAGGTAGAAGGGACATCTCAGCTACATGGGGAAAGAAAGAGGGAAAGGACGAGAGGCAGCCGGAGCTCAGAGTAGAGTCAGGAGAAGGAGACACACTTAAGAAGGACTCTGAGAGAGAAGCAACAACAACCTTTACATCAATGACGGTGGCCAGGGACTGCAGGTGGCTTTTGTGACCAGGCAATCCTCGCCGTGCACACATACAGCAAAAGTGCCTTGTGCCAGCACACACATTCCCAGGTGGAAAGGGGCTCCAGGAGAGAGAGACACGACTTCCTTTTGTGGACTCCACTGTCTGACCCCTCTCCTGACAGCGTCACTGGTAAGCGGTGATTCGTGTGGAACATTATCTGGCATGCATTTTATGTAAGGACCTGAAGGGGGTCAGAGCATGCCACCCCAAAATACACCTCTTTGGCTCCTTGATTATTTTGAGAAACAGCAGGTGCAAGCGGGGTTCTCTGCCCTCCCCTTTCTACCTAAAAGCAGGGCGTAAGTCTCCCTTGAGGAAGAAGCCCCCTCTGCACCAAGAGGAGAGCACTCTGTCACCAGGGACGGGGAGCCATCGGAGACGGATCTTTACAAACACACCTGCTGAAACAGACCGTGTCTCCCACTAATTCCCTCCCACGTCCCCATCGTGGCCCCACAATCTGCAGCCCCAGCCCGAGTCCCTGGACTGTCACAGCCCCACGAATTACGGTTCTTTGTTTGAAAAGATACATAAGCTCTTGGCTCTAATAAGCTCTTCAGATTTTCGTTTTCCTTTGAAGACTCCTACAGACACTTAAAATATTAAATAAGCTTGCATGCTTCCCTCCTGTTTACCTGGTCGATACGGAGGCCAGCCGCGGGTTCTAGCTGTGTGGAAGGAAGCTTTTTCCTCCCTACAGATCTTACTCCTACTGCTTCTAAACACAATTCTGTTAAAATTATTGGGGAATCTAATATTTACCCAAATTGGATTTCATAATTTGGAGAGTCGGATTGTAAAAACAACTGTCCTAAAGCCGTGCTGGAGAATTGCTGACTTGCGCCAAAGAAGCCCGTGGGGACTGGGTACACCCTCCTTGGCCGGGTCTCAGCATTCTGAATTGCTGAGTACATACTGGTTGAGAACAAGTGAGTGTTTTGCTACAACTTACCTTTGATGAAGATATTGGGGAAAGGGGCTAATTAGGGGGCCGGGGCTGTGGGCTCCTCGGCACCCCCATCAAGCAGGCAGAAGGCGAGCAGAACACACTGGTCCTCTGGTCGCGGGCC